TTGGCACTATAGGTCAGCCGATTGGGATGGGATGCGGTCTTTCTTTGCATCCTACCCTTGGGGGCGGGTTTGCTTCTCGCCGGACGATCCCAACGTTGTTGCTGATTCTGTCGCTGATGTGGTACTTCAGGGTATGGAACTTTTTATTCCTTCCTCTGTGGTGCCCATTGGAGGCAAATCTCAGCCATGGTTTGGTCGCTCCTGTAAAATAGCATCATGCTATAAGCAGGAGTGCTACCAGGCCTGGGCTGACGCATCAGCGTCCAGGGATGTAAACACCAGCGCTCTAAAAAAGAAGTATAATTCCGCCTCTAGGTCCTTCAAAAGAGTCATTGCCAAGGCAAAGTCAGAGCACATAGGCAGAATTGGCGAGAAACTAGTTCGTCTTCCTTCTGGAACCCGTACATTCTCGTCTCTCGCCAAGGCTGTCCAGGGGAATTTCTGTCAGCCATCTCTTCCATCTCTGCACAGGGAGGACGACTCACTGGCCCACACCGCAAAGGAGAAAGCCGATCTTCTAGGCTCTTTCTTTGCGTCTAACTCGACTCTCGATGACGGGGGGAGTACGCCGCCGACCATCCCGCGGTGTGAGTGCTCCATGCCGGAAGTGCAGTTCACTCAGCGCTCGGTTCGCAAAGCACTCCTCTCCCTGGACATCCACAAGTCGAGTGGGCCTGACGGAATCCCCCCCAATTGTGCTGAGGACGTGTGCTCCAGAGTTGGCACCGGTTTTAACGCGTTTTTTCCGGTACTCCTACTCCCTAGGCGTAGTCCCAAAATCATGGAAGACGGCTTTCGTCCACCCGATCCCTAAAAAAGGCGACCGCTCAGACCCGTCCAACTACCGGCCTATCGCCATCACCTCCTTGTTCTCCAAAACAATGGAGTCCATTGTAAACTGCCAGCTCATGAGGTACCTTGAGGATCACCAGCTGATTAGTGACCGCCAATACGGTTTTCGCCGTGGTAGGTCAGCTGGTGATCTTCTGGTCTACCTAACTCACAGATGGGCGGAGGCAGTAGAGTCCAAGGGGGAGGCATTGGCCGTTAGTTTGGACATTGCGAAGGCCTTCGATCGGGTTTGGCACAAAGCGCTTCTTTCGAAGCTCCCTTCCTATGGGCTTCCCGAGAAATTGTGCGATTGGATCACCAGTTTTCTTGCAGATCGGAGCATCAAGGTCGTTGTAGACGGTGCAAGCTCCGATTGCAAGCCTATTAATGCTGGTGTTCCACAGGGCTGCGTGCTATCGCCAACGCTGTTTCTTCTGCATATCAATGATATGTTGCAGACCCGTAACATTCATTGCTATGCAGATGACAGCACTGGTGATGCTCTTTACACCGGCCGAGCCAATATTTCTCGGGAAAACGTCTCTGAGTGCCGGGACAAACTTGTGTCTGAAGTCGAGTCTCTGCTGGACAGAGTCTCGGATTGGGGGCGACTAAATCTAGTCCAGTTTAACCCCCAGAAGACACAAGTTTGCGCGTTAACCGCTAAAAAGAACCCCTTTGTCGTATCCCCTCAGTTTCAAGGCACTCCCCTTGTTGCCTCAGCCAGTATCGGAATCCTCGGCGTCGACATATCGAGTGACGTGCAGTTTCGTGGTCACTTGGAAGGGAAGGCCAAATTGGCCTCTAAAAAGCTTGGCGTGCTCAGCAGAGCGGGACAGTATTTCATGCCGGTACCAGCTCCTTCCACTTGACCACATCCAGCGCAGAGCGGCTCGAATCGTCGACGACCGAGTGCTTTCCGATCGGCTCGATTCTCTGGCACTGCGAAGAGATGTTGCATCCCTTTGCATTTTCTTTCGCATATACCATGGAGAGTGCTCTGAGGAATTGTTCGGATTAATCCCAGCCGCCAAATTTCGTGAACGCACTACGCGGCAAACGTCCCGATACCATCCACACCATCTGGATGCTTGGCGGTCCACCACTGTACGTTTCAAAAGGAGTTTTCTTCCGCGTACAACCTCTCTGTGGAATAATTTACCACCAGCGATTTTTCCGGACCGATACGACCTGGGGACCTTCAAGAAAAGAGCTTACTCCTTTCTAAAGGGCCGGCAACGCGTCTGCAATTCCCCTGGTGTTGCAGTTGATCATGGGCGGCGGTAGTCACTTAACATCAGGTGAGCCACATGCTCGTTTGCCCCCTCTTCTATAAAAAAAAAAAAAAAATCTTCTCGTCAGGTATACCTCAATCTCTAAAAACTAAATTGTACAACCAGTGCGTGTTGCCAGTGATGACTTACGGATCTGAGACGTGGTCCTTCACTGCTGGCCGTATGAGGACGCTCAAGGTCGCTCAGCGAGCTATGGAGAGGGCTATTCTCGGAGTTTCTCTGCGTGATAGACTCAGAAATGAGGATATCCGCAGTAAAACCAGAGTGACCGACATAGCCCAACGGATTAGTAAGCTGAAGTGGCAATGGGCCGCCCATATAGCTCGAAGAACCGATAACCGATGGGGAAGAAAGGTTCTCGAGTGGCAGCCTCGTACCGGTAGGCGTAGTGTAGGGCGACCCCCCACTAGATGGAGTGACGACCTGGTAAGATATGCAGGAAGTCGATGAATGCAGGTGGCTCAGGACCGTGCTTTGTGGCATTACTTGGGGTTGGCCTATGTTCAGCAGTGGACTTGTGAAGGGCTGTAATGATGATGATGATGATGATGAAATACCCACCTTGTGAGCAAAATGTCAATATTATTGAAAGTATTATTACAACAATTTAACAAAATATATATAGGGGATCTTTTACCTACGTTGGTTCGACATTTATTAGTAAAAAATGTATATTTAGTACGAACATTGCGACACAATGGCCTATATGGTACTCTGTATTGTATCATCTCAACTAGGTAGTTCTATACTATCGTACCTGTTATGACAGATATCATTTAGTAACATACCTTGAATCTGTTGACGTCTGGATTCGAATTTTAGTAAGTTATATTCGACCAGCAGTTGATAGTATATTATGGCTAAAAGTTAATATTATGATATTCGTCAACTAAATCGTGCCTCTTGGGTGTTACCACGGCATGTGCTGCTGCGTTAATCGTTAAAGTGGCACGAAAATGATGTATGGCTGGATTGTTCCTCCTGAAAAGTTCTTAAAAATTTCCGGGACAGCACAATATGTCTGTTTTACAAGGATAACTTACAATAACCATTTTTATCTAAAAACTTTCGCTTGACAATATAATCATGGTAGTGGGGGCGGTGGCATGTTGGTCTCCTTAAATCATGAAACACAGAAAAACAATTTATGTTAAAACTTCAGAAAAAAGAAACAAAAATTTGGTTTACCATAAAGTTTTAAAATAACAAAAATCTTGTATCACAATGTTTTCCATGTGCCGCGTATAGTGGCAGTTTAAGAATATCTATTACCCCATTTCGTACAGTGGGTGTTGTTAGAGGCGATAGCGGGAAACTAATCAGGAAATGGGCAGCAGCCTTCTTAATAAACACTATAAATAAAGAACTGCGGTTGCAAACTCGCTTGCCAAGCGTGGCAATTATGGTAAATATCCTCCTATGAAACAATCTTTGGGGCAGGCCTATGTTTAGCAGTGGACTATAATAGGCTGTAGAAATAATGTTTTCGTTTACCTCCGAGCAAATGGCAACACTGCTAACGGAAACCAAACTTCGGTTGCCCGTGTTCTTTAAAATTTTCAACAAGCTATCTTTTAACGTGGTAGAGCCACGCTGCAGCTAATTTATGGTTGTAGTACGAATGGGTTGCCTCGAGCGGGGAAGGAACACGCTCTCACAGAATACAAGCGAAATATTAAAGTTTAATGTTATTTTTTGTGCCTGTATGTTGCTGTTGCTGTTATAATGCTGTTATATATCGTATGGTGAGTGTAAAGAACCGGAGATCATTTTTATTGTAAACGAGACATTCCATCATAGTCTTCAGGGGTGACAACATATCTGCATTTTGATTCTTAATTAAGGATAAATGTAGGTGATTATGGACCAATTCACGTGATTAGTTTCACCGATTTATTATTCGTTTTGATAATCTTAGAAATGTATTTATAGAGTTTTATGGCTAATATATATATATATATATATATATATATATATATATATATATATATATATATATATATATATATATATATATTTAAGATCCTAAATTATCCTTCTTAATTCGTAAAAATTCATGATTCGGTTTTATAATAATAACTTCTTTATTAACAGTTTGGGATTTAAAGAAGTGCCTTTATTTTTGTGGCAAAGTGCTTCAGCCTTGGTGCCACAGTTTTCGCAATTTTAACCTTTGCAGTCAAATTACAATTTTATTACACTTACCTTTCGTATATTTTCCACTGGACTTCTTACTTAAAACAGTCCTTAGATTAAATATGATAGTAATTACAAACTACTTTTTGAAATAGGAAAGGACTTAAATTTTATTTCTTCTTTTATAATATATATATATATATAGCAGTATTCAATAAACATAAATCAAAAGCAACGGTAACGAAAACCTATTTTGTTACAGATTGAACTGAAAAGAACGAGAAAATGTTTCTCCGCAAGATCAAAACTGAAACCATAAGCCCGATAGGCAGACTACACTATCCAACTATATAAATTTGGACGATGGCCGGTACACCGGGCTTTAGTACACAAAAAATAAAGATGGATATTCCAAAATATAGTATATGTATTAACCAATGCCGGAACGTTTCGAGAGTAATGACAATAGTTTTCAAAACTCCTGATCCCGAGACAGTTTATCTAAATCGAACTTTTGTGGAAAATAGAAATGATAATGAAACAAACTATCAAACTATTTTGGAAACTAATCTAGATTTAAACGAATCTTTAAAAGAATTATATAATTTCGAAAGGACGTTAAAAAATACGTTTTCAAATTTTAGTTACGAAAATGGAACATGTACTAGTGATGTGCACAGTTATAACTTGTGGGCGTTATCGTTACTAGTGTTTCCGGTGTTAACTTTATTCGGTAACATGCTGGTTATTATGAGTGTAGCGCGGGAGAGGAGTTTGCAAACTGCGACAAACTATTTTATAGTAAGCTTGGCTGTTGCAGACCTGTTGGTGGCGGTCGTCGTGATGCCCTTCGGAGTGTATTATTTAGTAAGTAAACTCAATAGTTCTTACGATCTTTCTATGCATATGTGTTTTTTTATATATGGGGGTAAACGACCATGCGGCTCACTTGACGGTAAGTAACTACCGCCAATAAATAATTGCAATATCAAGGAAAATGCAGATGCGATGCCCGCTTTTTAATAAAGAGTAGGGTCTTTCCTTGAAGGTCTCTAACTTACAATCATGAATATGGGGGACAATCCATGATACTAAGGGAAACCAGAAGAATTTTATCTATTACCCCTCAGTTAATTTTTTTCCCACCGATTTGCACCTGCTAAAGTTTTTCGTTGTCTCCCAGAGTTGATTGACAGATACTTATATTATATATATATATATATATATATATATATATATATATATATATATATATATATATATATATATACATATATACATATGGCATTAAGTCCGTCGAAAGTACCCTTTATTTTAATGCAGTGGTTCTTAACCGGTTGTCCGTTGACCACTGGTGGTCACTGAATACCTCACGATAAAAAGTGTACAACATTTTTGACGACGATAGTCGGTGTGCACATACTGACGATACAGTTTACAAGACAAGACAAGACAATGCAAGGTGTTGCTACATTAAAAGGGATACTAAATGACGCCACTTATTAATATTTTGTGTGTTTTATTTATAGAAAAATAAACTTAAAAATCAACCTTCATCATCATCATCATCATCACAGCCCTTCACAAGTCCACTGCTGAACATAGGCCTCCCCCAAGTAATGCCACAAAGCACGGTCCTGAGCCACCTGCATCCATCGACTTCCTGCATATCTTACCAGGTCGTCACTCCATCTAGTGGGGGGTCGCCCTACACTACGCCTACCGGTACGAGGCTGCCACTCGAGAACCTTTCTTCCCCATCGGTTATCGGTTCTTCGAGCTATATGGCCGGCCCATTGCCACTTCAGCTTACTAATCCGTTGGGCTATGTCGGTCAATCTGGTTTTACTGCGGATATCCTCATTTCTGAGTCTATCACGCAGAGAAACTCCGAGCATAGCCCTCTCCATAGCTCGCTGAGCGACCTTGAGCGTCCTCATACGGCCAGCAGTGAAGGACCACGTCTCTGATCCGTAAGTCATCACTGGCAACACGCACTGGTTGTACACTTTAGTTTTCAGAGATTGAGGTATACCTGACGAGAAGATATGTCGTAATTTCCCGAACGCTGCCCAGCCGAGTTGAATCCGTCGATTGACCTCTCGGTCGAAGTTGGACTTACCTAGTCGGACTATTTGTCCCAGGTAAACGTACTCGTCAACAACTTCGAGCATAGTGCTCCCAACAACTACCGGCATAGGTGTGACATGGACATTAAACATAATCTTTGTTTTGTCCATGTTCATCTTAAGACCTATCCGTTGGGAGGCACTATTGAGGTCATTGAGCATAGTGCTTAAGTCCTCCAGCGATTCTGCCATAAGGACTATATCGTCGGCAAATCGAAGGTGAGTGATGTACTCGCCATTGATGTTAATACCGTATCCTTTCCAGTCCAGTAGCTTGAAAACGTCTTCCAAAGCAGCGGTGAAGAGTTTCGGGGATATAACGTCACCCTGTCTTACACCTCTCTGCAGTTGGATAGGTTTCGAGCTCTGGTTCTGTACTCGGATAGCCATCGTAGCCCTACTGTACAAACACTTCAGCACTTCAATATACCGACAGTCAACTTGGCACCGCTGAAGGGACTGCAGCACCGCCCAAATTTCGACGGAATCAAAGGCTTTCTCATAGTCCACATACGCCAGGCAAAGTGGCAAATTGTACTCTTCAGTCTTCTGTACAATCTGCCGCAGGGTATGTATGTGGTCTATGGTACTGAAGCCTTTTCGGAAACCGGCTTGTTCGGGAGGCTGGAAGTCGTCGAGTCTGCGTGCGAGACGATTCGTAATGACTCTCGAAAACAGCACGTAGACGCGGCTCAGAAGGGAAATCGGTCTGTAGTTCTTCAAGAGAGCGTTGTCGCCTTTCTTAAAGAACAAGACCACCGCACTTCTGCTCCACGCCTCTGGAGTAGTGCCACCATGGAGGACGGAATTGAAGAGCTTCTGAAGGACTTCAAGTACCGGTGTTCCACCCGCTTTCAGAAGCTCCGCTGTAATTCCATCCTCACCTGGGGCCCTGCCGTTTTTAAGGTGCTGGAGAGCCATTCTAATCTCGCTTAGACTGACGTCCGGGATATCATCGGAATAGTGTCGGATAAGACTTGCTCTTAAAAAAAATCAACCTTACCAGTGTTAAATTATATTGTATGTTTAAAGTTTAAGAAACACTGGGGTTGGCTATAGACATCCAGTACTTGATTTTGATAATGTTTTAGTCTATGAGGCTTGTTAGGGTTAAGCTTGAACATATTACATGGTTTTTACATGTCGGGTATGCGTTTTGAATTAATTACGATAAAAACAAATTTCAGTAAAAATTTAATAATAACGAAACGCAAATATTGCAATTTGTTCTCGTATTATGAAGTGGATGTCCGGTACTTGATTTTTTTAATTTTGTTATCAATTTAGGATGATTGTCAGGATTAAGCTCGAACCATTAATAGAACCAAGAACCATAAGTTAATGTACATTAGCTCTAGTCAAAATAGGAGTAAGGTTATACCTAGGCTCATTGCGCATGACCACCAATGCCTTCACAGACGACAGGTCCAAGTGAAATAAATGTAACTGCGAATCCATAGACCTGGTAGAATCACGGACCTACTTATGACTCGTGATAGATAGTCGCCTAAATTGGAAAGAGCATATTGAGCATGTATGTGATAAACTTCGTGGTATGCTTGCAAAATTTCCTATAATTAAATATAAAATTCTGTATAAAATACTTGTACAGCGCTATATAAATCACTGGTAGATTCAAAAGTAGAATATGGTTTGTTTAGCTATGGTAGAACGTACAGATCACCTTTACAATGTATTTGTCTACTACAATTACGTATTTTAAAAACTATAGTCCCGGAGAGTATTAAAAACCAGTATAAAGAATCAGATTACCACAACATTTTTAGTCATTGCAAATTATACCTATACACGAAAAGGTGAAGTTTACCCTTCGTATAGAAGAATTTTTTCATGAACAGTTAAAAATTGCACATACATGTGAATACTCTAAAACTCGCAACTCAGGAAAACCTAAACTAACCTTACCTAAATACAATAATTTATATGGTAAACGTGCCTTAGAATATATGATTTCTAACCTAATTAACCAGCTACCAGTATCAGTAAAAAGAGAACTAAATCAAAAATATTAAATTAAAATTAAACAATTACTTTATGCAATGCATTACAAATAATTTAAATTATACATAATATGTTTTAATAATAAATACTACGATAACGCCCTAAAACAAGCGCCCTGTATAAAATATAGGATCCATGCGCGGTGCATTATGCAATAGAAGATCACGCAATTAACTAATAAATACTAACTGTATTCCTTTTCTCTTACTTACACCCTTATATTTGTTATTGTAAATGATACCAGTACACTGTAAAGTTTCTATAAACTTATGATTGTACCGTAACGTAATGTGTAATTAATGAATGTAATAATATATTAAATAAATAAAAAAATTACACTTTCTTAGATTTCGGAAATGCCTTTTGAATTAATTACGACAAAAAATAAATTTCACTAAAAATTGCAATAGCTATATATATATGTATATATGTCCACTTGTTTTTTTTTAACAGAGATACACTCATAAAAAGTTAATCATTGGTACACAGACAATCCATATTTGGTGGACATGACGATTAAACAACAAATTAAGTCGCAGTGGGGAGCAGTCAAGAGGTTTTTCAAAAAACAAAATTATAACAATTCACATTACATTATTTAATTTACCACTATCATAGCAGAGTTTAGGGCAACCAGACTTTATAGATAAGATTGGTCAAATCGGTTCTAAAACCGAATTAGCACATACCGACTCCACGTATTCTTGTCTGCCCTACCCCTAGTATTTTTGTAAAGCCGTAAGCACGGTGGGAGAGCAGCCCCCGCTCGCTGTAGCAAATCGCAGGCACCTAAGTGTGCCGTAGCGGCTGAGTCAACTGAGACCAATAAACCGAAGCTGCAGAGGCGAACATGGGTGCCTGTGATTTGCTACGCAAGGGCGAAGGGGCTGCACTTCCCGCAGTGACAAAGCCGTTGCAGAAGTAACTTTGCGTCAATATTCCTGTATAATAAAGTGAGGTCACGATTTTACAAAAAAAATATTACTCATAAACTATACATTTCCGCAACGGGGGAAGGGTAGGAGAGCTTCTCATGACCCTCTCCCCCCTATCAGCATCGTACAGCCGTTGCAGAAGTAACTTTGTGTCAATATTACTGTATAAAAAGTGAGGTAACAATTTTACAAAAAAGGTTATTACTCATAAACTATACATTTCCGCAACGGGGGTAGGGTAGGGGGTCTTATCATGACCCCCCTCCCCTCCCCTTCCCCTCTCAACACAGTACGCGAGTACTGGATGACTATAGTTTACCCAAACACTGTTTTACAGTATTTAAATTTAAGAATAAATAAATAAACTTGTGAGTTCGACTATGTTCTCGAGAATCGCCATTGGTTGAAAGCATCACAAAAAGTGCACTGTGTTTCCTGAGCGTAACATTTGAGAATATTGACTGTTGCTACGGTGAATTGAAAGAAAGAACTATTTATTTGATCATTTTATTTATTTAACTATTTATTTAAAACAAAAAAACAGACTATAATTATTAAAGCTACAAAGGACGCCGCCGTTGACAGACTAGATTGAAAAGGGTGAACTTCAAAAAAAATGCTATTAAATAATTCTCGGTAAACTTTTATTACTCGAGGCACTGTTTCGACTTTGTTGCCTGAAACAAAATATTCACATAGCTTTGTAGAGTTTTAAGATATATTTCGCATTTTGTTTTTAATTTTTTCCTTAGCTACAAAATAATTCATTTCATCATTAGCGGTGTAATGTAATGTGTATTTATTTTAGTTTATTTACTTTTCTTATTTTTTCAAATTATAAGATTTAGGGAGGCTGTTACCCGTTTTTTGGTTTGTTTTTCTTTGTTGCCTCTTACAAATATCACGAGGATATGAGGTAGTTGAAATTTTTACACCGCCACTAAACAATTATTCCATATTATGTAATTGTTTAAACTAATTATTCTACAACTTTTACGATAGCCAGACACAAGCCAGAAAAAAACCAGTAAGTAACCCAGCAAGAATTTTTAAATATTAAGTTACAGTATAATATTACGTGTTCATCTTATTCCAAACATTATTATTGACATGTTATTAACAAACATGTATGCCAAAAAAAATAAGTGTAGAAATATCAACCATAGCAAATATGAGATAATCTATGGAAGAGACTACGTTTAGACTTTTAAAGGACTGTAAGAAATGAGATCCTAGTAATATGATGCAGTGTGACTCCACCACATACAATTTTTTTTATTTCCTATTGCGATTTAATAATTTGATCTGCGACAGTTAAACGGCGAATGGTGTCTGCCAGCTTTCGTGTGCGACTGCTACATCGCCATGGACGTCACATGCTCAACTTCGAGTATTTTCAACTTAGTTGCCATATCCGTAGACAGGTAAGGCTATAAAATTTTACGAAAAATGTAATATTATTGTGTTAGTTATAACTTGAGTTAATTTATGGTTTAATACATAAACACTCACGCCTGTCACCCAGAGGAGTAGGGAGAGGCTATAGAGTTCCTTCGCACGATCCTGACATATCTCTCTCGCCTCATTTACATCCATATACCTTACGCTTACACGCTCGTCGGTTAAGTATACTCCTAATGTGATCCATTTTCAAAATATCGCCAATTTGGTCGAAGAACCTTCTCGACTCTGCCGTTCACATCTGCTATATAAATTTACTTTGTTTTGTACTTTTCGATTTCTACAAAAATTATTATATCACTGAATTTTTATATAAATTATCGAAACTATTGGTTAGACAACCTGATAAGAGATGCAGGAAGTAGATGGATTCAGGTGGTTCAGAACCGAGTTTTGTAGCCTTCGTTCGTTCCTTCGTTAGCTAAAACTTATGAGCTTAGATTAAAAATTGGAAAAGATAAGTGATACAGATAGCATGATAGACAATCATCTACACGATCTTAAGCCCAATATTCCTTAAGTAGGCTTTGACGACATGTTAGGTACGTAGCACAGTTGCCACATTTTTTGTTATAAGTCGCATATAGACGTAGAACCTAATAGTTTTACACCTAACTAAACTAATAAAATTACTTCATTTTTAGAAATATTTAATTTTTATAAGCAAATTGTGAATTTTTTGTTGTAATTATGTTTTAGTACATAATTAAGTTTCAGGTGCAGTGCCGAAGGTCTTAAAAACTACCATTATAGCTCGATAAAATTTATAACTATTTAAATTAAATTGGATTCTATGCCAATCTCGAAAAATACAAAACTTTGTGCAATGAACAAAAAGAGTTTTGACAAAATTAAACTATAAATATGGCTATTTATGAATCTATCGAGATTTTTATATGTTACGTTGATAAAAAATCTACCATTTGTGCTGTTTACTATGATATGTCACAGGAATTTTAATATGTAGACCTACTATGGTTAGTATATTTACTAAAATCAAGTTAACGAAGACAAATATAATGCACTTTGGACAAATTGGAATTGGAAATTGGATTTGAGCAAAGATTACAAAAACCATTAAATGTAAATTTGGTTTATTTTTTTATAGAAGAGGGGCAAACGAGCATGCGGCTCACTTGATGGTAAGCCAACCGTTAAGACTACCGCCGCCCATGAACAACCGCAACACCAGGGGAATTGCAGGTGCGTTGCCGGCCTTTTAGAAAGGAGTAAGATCTTTTCTTGAAGGTCCCTAAGTCATATCGGTCCGGAAAAATCGCCGGTATCAAACAATCCCACAGAGAAGTTGTACGAGGAAGAAAACTCCTAGTAAAACGCAACAAACAATGGCTTATTCAAAATTGTTTTTATTCCTTAAATGAATTTTATTGTTATAGACCAAAGTGATATTTCATATAATCTTGACTTGATAACTGTTGACATGTACACCTAACTTGACGATATTTTTATTTTTTATTTTTTTGCATTAAGACTGGATCGAATTTTGTATTATTTTGTGTTTATTATTAACGTCTATGTATATGTGTGTTATTTATCTTAAGATACTTAATTCTTAAGTTTATCATGGAATTGTAATTAACCATAGATATTCACAGAACATTTATATAGTACTAGACCTACAATTATAAAATTATATTTTTGCATGCCACTGGCGAAGTATGATTGTACCATTCCAAGTTATTAATCATGTAACTACCATATTTCTTGCAAATAAATTATTATGGGGAGTATCTATATAGTTTCCTCATCTCGTTGGGTTCTATAAATATATAATTATAAATGAAAATGGAAAGATAAATATACATAAATATCAAAAATAAAATAAATACAAAAATACATAAATAAATAAAAGCCCAACCAGATGGAGGCCCTCGGTAGGGGAGACCAAACGGCCGAGGGTTAGAGTGAAAGGGAAAGAAACCGGCGGACGATGCGGACGGTATCGAGGAGCACCGCCTTCCGCATTTGAGCCTGGAGCGGCCCGTCACAGAGTCCCAGCCTCCTTAGATGACCCGAGAGACTGACTGGGATTAGCCCGTTTGCAGAAACGACTACAGGAATAATTTCAGTCGGTAGACCACCCCAAATGTCGGTCACCTCGTGAGCCAGGTCCAGATATTTTGTTAGTTTATCTGTTTCGGCTTTCACGAGGTTCTCGTCATACGGAATGGTAATGTCGACCAAAAATATCCTTGACTGTGCCCGGTCCACCAGCACAATATCAGGCTTTTTCGCAAGAATAGTCCTGTCCGTGATGATGGCCCGTTCCCAGTAAAGCCTGGCGCGATCATTTTCGAGCACGGCTTCCGGCAAGTACTTGTAATACGGCAGTTTCGGATCCACGAGACCGTATTTCAGAGCGATCCGAAACTCGTGGTGAAGAATTCTGGCTACTAGGTTATGCCTGTGCAAGTATTCAGAGTTAGAAAGCGCCGAACAAACAAATGACAAAAGAAAGCTGAAAGTATTCCGAAGATGACATGCCTAAGTGACTCACCGGGATGGCAACAAGCTCGACAGATGTCGACGGTGCCATCCTTTAGGATGTATCTCCGATAGTTGTTGGTCTTAATAACCTGATCCTGTATTGCACAGACAAAACCCTCGGTTTCTCCGAAGAGGTGACCAAAGCGTAGCCAGTGGAGGGAGGCAACTGTGTCTACGAAAGGCTCATGTAGAGCCTTGTAGAACCTCCGGTGGAGCTCTTTCTCCTTCCATATGGTCTCCCGGTCGGAAATACTCTGTACTGCCGAGTCTTGCCATTGCTCGTTGGCTAAGGATAGAGGGGTAAGTCCTTTATCACAAAAAATGACGTCCTTATAGAATAGATCATCCGATCTCGCCAGGAAGTAATTACGGAGGCTGCACACTTCGCGATTATGCATGGTGAGTGCGCTCAAAAAGCCACGCCCACCATGCTTTCGCGACAAGTACAGCCTCATTACCGACGATCTCGGATGATGCATCCTATGGGACGTCATGGTAGTGCGGACTTTTCTATGCAGGGCGTTAAGTTCAGTCTGAGTCCACCTGAGTATGCCAAAGGTATACATAAGGACAGGCATGACCCAACCGTTATATGCGTGTGTATTATTCACACCGGACAAAAGGTTTATTAAGCACTTGGGTCAGGCGTGCATAAAACGTGTCGCAAACTGATTTCATACCAGCCTCATCGATACTGATGTTCTGTGACATACCCAGGTATCGGTATGTTTCAGCCTCAGAAAGAGTCCTTAAACTGATTGGCATAGATAAGTCTATGCCCCCAGAGTTAGCAACCCTTCCCCTTTCAACATGGAGGACCGCAAATTTATCCGTCCCCAGCTCCATTCCAATAGAATTGCTAAATTGCACAAGTGATGTTTAGCAATTCCACAAGATGGGAGCGACTGGAGGCGAATAACTTGAGGTCATCCATATAAAAAAGGTGGTTCACTTTTGTGCCTCCTTACAGAAGCTGAAATCCGAATCCTCCCGGAGCCCTCCAGTAAAGTACTGAGAGGGTTCAAAGAGAGGCAGAACCAGATTGGACTCAGACAATCGCCCTGAAAGATACCCCTTCTTATCCTTATATGGCTTTCCGCAGCCGTCATCCGCTCGCCCAGATGACAAAGAATCGTACTCCAATGCCCCATACACTGCTCGAGGAAGTCTCTCACTGTACAGTCTATCTCGTACAGCTCGAGGACCCTTCTTAGCCATGTATGGGGCACCGAGTCGAATGCCTTTCTGTAGTCTATCCAGGCAGCGGAGAAGTTCCGACGGTTGCGTTTCACCACTTTGCCAATGACCGCGTCAATGAGAAGTAGTTATTATCATTATTATTAAGGAGCTGGCACTGGGGTGCCCTGGCGCAGAGATGAGAAAAGTATTCCATGTGAGGCCAAACTTGCGCTTTGTAAAATTGCAAGCGATGTGCCGGCATGATATACTGAGTTCTGCTGAGCACTCCAAGTTTTTAAGTGGGCGCGGGCGCTCAAAAGTGCGAAAATACGTCCTCAAAATTGCAGAACAACCTGCAAGCGTTGATGTCGCCGTGAATACCCCAGTTGTGGTTGATTCGAACGATGATGGAACAGTTGCTAGGAACTAGGATACGAGGAGAGCATATGAGGAGTATATTGGAAGAGGCGATTGTGGAAACGCGCAGTACATCTCTCGAAAATCGACCGCTACTTCCCCGCATAGCCCTAACAGCGGAATCGAGCTGTCGTAGGGTGAAATAACCTATTTGGAAGCCAGCCGGGATCTTTGCGAGACGGACTCAATTCTTTTTGGCGCCGCACCGGTAGTATGGCGTATTATAGGCGCCAAGCTTCCCACGGCTGGACGCGCTACTGGATAAAGTAGCGCTATCCCAGTCTGGAGAATAGCAATTGAAGAACTTACTGCAAAGGCTAGGGCCCTCATCGGCAGACTGATGTGCTTCAGGTCAGGCAATTACAGGCCAAGAATTGTGCGCACCGTCAGGATGGCGTTTGCTGGGACAAATGTTAGTTTTTCCCAGCCGGATATAATGCAAAAACTGACTGACCTGAAGCAGAGAATCGCTGCTTGGGGTAAGCGGATTCGGCGATATAGCGAGAGGTCGACACGGTTCAACCAGAATCATCTCTTCCAGAGTGATGACAAGAGACTCTATAAATCATTGGAGCGACCAATGGTAAGTGAAACGGGCCCAGCAGCAAATCAGGCCGATACTGTTGCATTCTGGCGCGGCCTATGGTCAGAGCCCGTAAACCACAGCGAAGGCCCTTGGATGGAAGTTGTGGCAAATCAGTATGCGAGTATTACGCCCATGTACGCCGTCATCATAATGCCGGATGACGTAGCTGAGGTGGTCCGTAGGGCCCCGAAATGGAAAAGTCCGGGACTCGATGGGCTGAATCACTACTGGCTGAAGGGGTTCGTGGTGTGTCACGCTGTGCTCGCCCGAATGTTTCAAGAGGCTCTCAACCAGAGGTCGCTCCCTAGCCTCTTCACTACTGGGATCACTCATTTGGTTCCTAAAGACCAGGTTACCACAGACCCGAGCAAATTCCGCACCATCACGTGTCTACCGACCATATACAAGACACTAACATTCATTTTGAGCGTGAGAATCACTCGTCACCTGGACTTAAATCAGTTGATGTCGCGTGCTCAAAATGGGTGTCGGGGCGGTGGTCGTGGAACCAAGGGACCAGTCCTCATTGACGCGGTTATTGGCAAAGTGGTGAAACGCAACCGTCGGAACTTCTCCGCCGCCTAGATAGACTACAGAAAGGCATTCGACTCAGTTCCTCATACATGGCTAAAGAGGGTCCTCGAGCTGTACAAGATTGACAGTTAGAGACTTCCTCGTGCAATGTTTGGGGCAGTGGAATACGATCCTTTCTCATCTGGGTGAGCGGACGACGGCTGCGGAAAGCCGCATAAGGATAAGAAGGGGTATCTTCCAGGGCGATTGTCTGAGTCCAATCTGGTTCCTCTAACCACTACAGGGCACCAAGTTTGGATTTCAGCTTCGGAAAGAAGGTACAAAAGTAACCCACCTTTTCTTTATAGGACCTCAAGTTATTCGCCTCCAGTCGCTCCCATCTTGTGGAATTGCTAAATATTACTTGTGAATTTTGCATTTATATTGGAATGGAGCTGGAAACGGATAAGTGTGCGGTCCTCCATATTAAAAGTGGAAGAGTTGTTAACTCTACTCCTTTCAGAACGACAAAAATTCTCCCGCTTCTCAAAATTTTTTCATTATATTCTAGATATACAAGGGATAAAGTATTTAGAAAAAATTATAGAAAAAATCCCCCCCTCTTTAAATTCCATTGTTTAAATTCCGTCCCCCCCCGCGCCTACGTGCGCTCTAGTTTTTAAGTGTGCTAATGCTGATCGTGCATAGGGAATAAAACTGTAAAAAATGTTATCTAATATATTTATTCAAATATTGTTATAGAAAATATTACATTTTATAACACAGTATTTTGATATTTACTTCTATTTCAAAGTCTTCATAAATCAATCTCTTTTATATAATGAACAAACAAAAATATAATATTTATTATCTTAAATACTATTATCTTCAAAATAAAAAGTCATTATAGACAACAAAAAATCAATACGTAAATGGTAGTATAGTAAATTAACTTGATAATTGAGATGGGACTTGTTTCCGAACTTGATAAAAGGATTTGGAGGGTAGGAACTGGGGACGAACGGCCGAGGGCCGAGTTCACGACGAGTGGCGATAGAGTAAATAATAGTACTACGTAGCGGTAATTCTTGTCAGACCTTTAAAGTTTAAATGCGTATAAGTTTGCTTAAACATATTATTAAACTGTGTATCAGTGAACCTTATATATTTAAATAGAAGCTCATATTCGTAGAACGTTTATTTTAGAAGTGCAACGGGGTAAGTGTTTAATAGTATACTTTGTTTGGTAGTCTGAGTGATTTTGGAACAGTATTCTTAGATTATGCAATTATTTCAGTCTGTGGAAACGCCCATCAAGTTAATTGTGACAATTACGCCTTCATACATCTCTGATATAAAGTGTTATCAGTAAAATTTATTTGTCTTAAAAGATGAAGACGTTGACTGACAATACTACAACCTTATTCGAAACGGATCGTTGTCGAAAAGTATAACTTATTACATAAAGCGGCAATACATGCATCGGACGACTTCCTCGTGTTCCTGGTTCGAGCCCGGAGTAAAAATATTCAGTTTTTTTATTGTTTTTCCCTTTTTCTTTTTATATTTAGTTTTTTTATTGTTTTCCCCTTTTCCTTTTATAATTAGTATCATTTTATGATAAACTCAAAAAAGCGTAAACTCTCATGTACATAATAAAAGAACTAATAGTAAATTTTATGTTTCGTTGCCTGTAATTTTATTCAGCAGTTAATGTGTAAATTTAGATTTTGCTAATTATTAAGTGCTTACATAATTTAGTGCTAAGATTAATGTAGATTATGCTTAAGAATTATCTAGTTCTTCGCTTTGTGTAAGTACCTCGTCTTTATTGTGGCCTTACATGTTTCTTATAAATATCTTACACATTCACACATTTGTTTCTTGTCTTACCCGGACCCTGACCCCCATGGCTTGAGTATACCATGACACATGTAAAAATAAGCTCGCTGGTCAGTCGACAGTAAGTAATCAATGCAACCCATGAACAACCTATATACGTGGGGAAATCCTCATGGATACTATACGCTGCGCAGGGAACGTAGAAGTAAGGCCCGACTCTTACGACAATATCTCTGCAATAGTCGCCATCAGTGCAACACCATGCAACTTGCAGCCAACTAATTATACTTAAATTAAATTTACTCTTAGTAGTTCACTTCTGAACATTTCCCTACCCTACAATTCACCTTGCGATGTATCTCCACCGTAAGATAAATTGTAGGGTACTTGAAATAATTGTGTTTTTTTTTTAATTTTTTAACTCTTTGCAGAAATAATACTACTTCCCATTTCCTGTTTCAGTTTATCCACGGGACGATATGGTGTATTTGACTTACATACGTCGGCACTATACAACTTTCTAGTAGTTTCTAGTAGTCATAAAAACCCATAATTTATAATTCATCATCCTCTTTTCTACTTCTGCCATCATGCATTACTGCGTCCTAGTACTTCATAACCTGAAGTATTAAGACTTGGCCTGCCTGGCCTGACTTGACCTGCCTTGACTTTGTCTGGAAAGTATTCATAATAATTATTTATATTTAAGACAATCAAAGACTTTTTTATCAATTATCCTTTTTTAATTTTGAAGTTTTTCGGATAAAATATATGCTTTCGTTTGTATGTGACTTTCCAGTAAAAAGGGTCTCCGGTTCTTTACTCTCTAGTGAGTACCATACAAAACACAACAGCATTAATCTGCTATTTTACATTGGTATTTTATGAGAGCATGGTCGTTGCCTGGTCAAGCCGACCCATTCGTGCTAAACCATAATAAACCCAGCTTCAGCGTGGCACTACCACCCACAAGAAATGGGTAGCAGCGTATGCTGATTTACCTACCTACCCATTACTTGGCTTGTTTCCCTCTATCACCTCTTACGACAATTTTTTACTATATGTAATGCAGTTTTTTTGTTATTTATCTCTTTACAGATACATCGCAGTAACGCAACCAATAAAATACGCCAAGCACAAGAGTAACGCCCGCGTGTGGCTCATGGTCGGAGTGGCCTGGCTGGTCTCATGCGCGATCGGCTCGCCCGTAGTCTTGGGTCTCAACAACACGCCAGACCGCACTCCCAACGCTTGTCTCTTCAACAACACTGATTACGTCATCTACTCCTCGCTTGGCTCCTTCTACATACCGTGCATCATAATGATGTTTCTGTACTATAATATATTTAAGGTCAGCCAAATTTAATTTAAAATTGCTTATTGAAATCTAAAACAACTAACCGATTTTTTAGAATATAATTTATGTTTAGTAAAAAATATTAGTTCAGTATTATTAAAAAAATATTAAAATTAAAAACTGACATCAAAAAACTAAAAAGAATAAAACATTTTTAACCTAAATTGCTTCCAATAATTTTTAGCCCTCTTAACTTTAACCAAAGAGAATTTAAATATTAGTAGTAAGTAGTCACATTTTTAGGTTAAGGTATATACTGCTATCGGTTAAAGTTCTTAATTTTAAGATCCTTTATGTCTGTAATAAGGGTATGGCATTGTATAACTTTCTTCTCTATAGACATCGGTGGTTAGAAATAGTGTACACAGTACTTAAATCTCCGATTCCTAACTCTGTTATGTGGAATTTGTCCTATTCGTTTTAGGTTCTTAAAATCAGCTGTTACATTTTATTAATGGTAAAATTTTTGGACTCTTTTGAGTCAACTAAGGAATATCACAAGCTCAAGGTGACAGCTAGAATGCAGTCGTAATAGTTACATTTACAAATTTTACTAATATTTTTCCCACAGATTTAGTGGTAGAATTTTCCTGCAAGTAAAAGAATAATTAAAATCAATTACCTAGTTTAAGTCTAAGTCACCGCTTACATCCATACAAAAAATATATACAGTCGAATGGAACCTCCACCTAGTTTTGATTCTGACTTATTTTAATAAACATTGACAAAATGTTAAATTAATTACCACACAAGTGAAGCATTTCATCATGAACTAACGCAAATTTTTCTATTTTTTAAAAAATCATTATCGGTTAAATCTATATTCTACATAATATATTCTTGATCAATTTTATGTATCACACACAGTTACAAAGCAGATAATCTGGAAAACTCAAAATATAATATTTCTAGGCTATCCGCAAAAGAGCGAAAAAACAGCGTATTGCCAAGAAAACCTCATCGGGCATCAGCTCCACACTTTCCAGCGGGACTGCAGCAATAGTGATTGAGAACGTTGCTCACAAAAACCGCTTAAATGACAGTGGATATACCTTGCAAGAAGATAAACCAACAAATACTGCTTCTGGAAGCAACGAAGATGAGGAAGATGAAAAGTGAGAAACTTGTGTTATGTGGTTACACTTGTTCTTTCCATTTTTGGCACCTATTATTTTCACACGTCTTGGGTTGCCTGGAAGATAATTCTAAAAGGCATTAAGTCCGTCCACCTTTTGGAATACATTTTATTAAGGTATACAATAAAGTATAATAATAATAAATATATAACCAACCAACAACTATCGGAGATACATCCTAAAGGATGTCACCGTCGACGTCTGTCGAGCTTGTCGCCATCCCGGTGAGTCACTTAGGCATGTCATCTCTATTTGTTCGGTGCTTTCTAACTCTGAATACTTGCACAGGCACAACCTAGTAGCCAGAATTCTACACCAGGAGCTCGCTCTGAAATACGGTCTCGTGGACCGGAAACTGCCGTATTACAAGTACTCGCCGGAAGCTTTGCTCAAAAATAACCGCGCCAGGCTCCACTGGGACCGGGTCATCATCACAGACAGGACTATTCTTGCGAATAAGCCTGATATTGTGCTGATGGACCGGGCACAGTCAAGGATATTTTTGGTCGACATTTCTATTCCGTATGACGAGAACCTCGTGAAAGCCGAAACAGATAAGCAAACAAAATATCTGGACTTGGCTCACGAGGTGACCGCTCCGGGGTCAAATGCAGAAGACAGTGCTCCTCGATACCGCCCGCATAGACCGCCGGTTTCTTTCCCTTTTCCCCCTAACCCTCGGCCGTTTGATCTCCCCTGCTGAGGGCTTTCATCTGGTTGGGCTCTTATTTGTTTATGTATTTGTTTTATGTTATTGATATTTATGTATATTTATCATTCCCATTTACAATTATATATTTATGAAACCTAACAAGATGAGAAAACTATATAGATACACCAAAATACATAAAATAAAATAGTGTAATATAAGGGCATCCACTATCCCATATCAACCCGTGAAATAAAATAAGAGATGATATAGTACCTGACAATAACTCAAAATAATAAAAGCGTAGCAATTATGACAATATCTTTCCATGAGGCAATCCATGAGGACTATATTAATCAGTAAATTTTTGATAGTCTGTTAAAAATCCTGAATGATTTGTGTTATATTGACTTATAGAGAATTTGCATAATCCATATTTGATATTATTTAAATTGAAAGACCAAAATTTGTGTAAAGCAATACACACAAAAATTTATTTCTCATAAATTTCGGAATATAGTTTCAAATTCTAACCAGAACTAGCATTTTAAAAAATATGACTAGGTATATCTCTTTTTTTTCGCTAAAAGTGCGTTCTACAATCTGCCTTTCTATCTACCAAACGAGATGCTGATGATAGAAGTAAATTATTAGCGGACTGATGGGGTAAACTATTAGTGGGTGTATGAAAACACAAACTGGCGATATCAGTTACAATTCACGCGACTCTAATTTTAGATCTCGATGACCTCGAATTTTATAGGATAATAGTTACATTTGGAATAATTAGATAAGGACATTATTAAATTCCTCATCAAGCTTCTGACAGTTTTCAAAAATTGTTGCCAAGATGGACATTGATATCATTATTATTATGATTATCATGTTAATTAATAATAATTATGTCCGCCAGAGCACATTTCAGTCATGGAGGCCAGTCTCAAAGGTGATACTGCACAAAGAAAACGATGATCTGCGCAGGACACGTATGCGCCGGCTCAGGTTCACTCTATTCCCCCACACTCATAGTCCAATGAGATGTTAATCCAACATGACCGGTGAGAGTAACGGCTTTACGTGCTTTCCGAGGCATGAAGGTGAAACACCGCCTGAAATCTTCCTGACTTCAGGCTGCTACTGAGAACTTTTTGACAGAAAAACCGAATAATTGGTTTTGGTTCTACCCGGTAATTGAATCCTGGACCTAATAATTACTAATCACTATTACGACCACTAGACCAACGAGGCAGTCCTGTTAATGCTAATTAATAATGAATATAGCTCCTATGCTTCCAGTTACGACCGCACTGAGATGGGAGTTTATGCGGACGAGTTAGCCAACACACGATCTACGAGGTTTATGCTTGCTGCAGTAGTGGAAGAGACTGGTCTGTATGTACTAAATTATTGATATTTCACTAAGCGTTTAAAGCTAAACCATACACATATATATTGAATACCACATATCATACATAAATTGCAGCAACTTGAAAAACTTATTTTATCTTCCCTTGAGTGTCTTATCGTCGGAGATATAGCCAAAAACGTAAATTCTAACTTGCTTTTTATAATATTATAGTAACAAGTTTATAGTCTACCGTATTTACCAGTGGTTACTGCACCCGACCTTTTTACTTTTATTTTATAAGAGGGGGTAAACGAGCATGCAACTCGCCTGATGATTGATAGATACCGCCGCCCATGAAAAACTGCAATACCAGGGCAACCTGCACTTGCAACGAACTTACAACAAGGAACGTCGCAAATGCGTTGCAACTAGATGCTGAATTGCCTCACATCGCATTCCTCTCTATGAATGCCTCACAGCACACTTTCAAACTGAGATACAATAGAAATAGACAATACGACAGTGTTGCCATTATAGATAAATAATGAAAATCAGTACCAATATTTTACACTTTGTGAACGCAAATATCACTTATAAACATTTTTTGTAACTGCTTCAGGAGGGTCTTGTGGTGAAAAATGTCCTTATCTTTTTAAAAAGCCTCATAGATCTGTTACAAAAAATGGTACATATTGATGGATTAGGTCTTCAGGTATTCATCGATTAGCATCTTATACAAAACTTCCGTAGTTTGACTGTTGGCTATAACAGGAATTTTATTATTTTTAACTTTCTATTTAACAGAATTATGGCAAATTTAGCATCACCAATACCGATGATGGATCCAAACACAAACAACGATTCTGGCTACGTACCTTCAAACATAGAAGTAGAGAAAGATCATACACCGTCATCTCCCAATAAAAAAGAAGAAAAGAAGAGAGAAGAGAACAATTCTGTATCTAAGAAACCTGAGCTAAGGTGAGCATTTATTTCATAAAACCAATATTGTATAATATTCGTGACAATTTTTTTTCTAATTTAACCTCTTGATCCCCTAGCGACCATATTCCATCAAATCCCTAGTGGTCTCATGACGCCACACCCACCCACAGCACTTTAACCCATAACAACTTATATAGAGAGACTACTTTTCTATGAAGAAGTTTGGCATTATTGAATCAATATGAAACTTTCTATCCTCTAGTGCAATAAAAAGTTAGTTATCCTATAGATATTTATTTATAATCTAAGTTCATTTCGTACGCCATTTTCGTGTGAATGCTATTGTATTGATTTTTGGATTTTTCTAGTGTTTTAGTGTAGTGTTTTATTATAAAATTGTAATGAAGGTTTTTGTGTCAATATAATTTATCTTTTTACGTAAATAATTTCGAATATTATATTGAAATAATTGTGATTTTCACGCGGCCGACATTCGCTTGGTATGTTTTTTTTTTTGTTATCCAAATACAAATCCATCTAAAATCCAATCCAAATAAAATCTTTTTGTAATGAAGTAAAACCTGACTTTTATTTAGATCACATGATAGAGAATTTTGTATAAATTTTATAATACCAAACTTCTTCAAAGAAAAGTAGTCTCTAAATATAAGTATTCATGGTTTTAAGTGCCGGGGTGGGTGCGGTCGCATGCGACCGCTCGGGATTTGCCGGGCGCCTACGACTGCATGGGATTTTATTAGGATTGAAAGGTAAAGTAAAAGGTAGAGCTACAAAAAATATAATATTTTCAATTTTTACACATCATTCAATGTAGCCTACAAAATGTTTTATTTGCAAATGACATTATTTAAACATAACATCTTACATATTAAAAGAGTAATCATTAACTATTATAGTTAAATTTGTAAAACACTATTAAGATCAAAGTATAAAAGATTACTTGATAGTAAATAATTACCATGTAGTGGCGGTGTAAGAATATCCTCTACCTCCCCTTTTATTGTCCCGTAAATATCGTAAAAGGCTACTGCGAGAAACAAACCAGGAGATGAGCAGCAGCTTTCCTAATAATCAAAATCATAAATGAGTTGGGTTTGCCAACCCGCCTGCCTAGCGTGGCAACTATGTCAAATGTCCTCTTTATGAAGCAATATTTCATAGATTGCCTCATAAGGGGGAACCATTAGGCTTATATTCAGCAGTGAAATTTGTATTCTTATATTCTTATTTTTTCTCATTTTCAATAATGTTTTGTTATTTTTGGCACTTATCACATTATTTCCAAAAGTACCGGGTTAACTAAGAGACAAAGCAAAATGGCATTAAGTCCGTCATTTATAATTATATAAATTAAGGTGTACAAATAAATAAATAAATTAAAAACGGTAAAGGTATATGAAATTAAATTCATAAAAATATTTTGCATACTTTATAACAGGAAGAAGATAAGCCGAATTAGCGGTAATTCGGTGATCACTACTCCTCGAAGACGCTTCAAGAGTGCGGCTTCAGCAGCTCGCTTCACCATATTCCGTGCAAACAGAGCTGGCAAACTGCAAGCCAAGTCGTTTGCCAAGAAAGAAAAGAAGGCTACGCAGACCCTTGCAATTGTCTTAGGTACTTTTACCATATATTTAAAACAGGTACAAACACGTTTATCGTTTACGTTATGAACATTAATTTTACTTTATATTTTTGAAGCTTGTCTTTTAATGGCTCAAGATTTTTTATACGTAAATAGATACGTCCCACTGCTAGCCACAGGCCTCCCCTCATTTCTGAGGGGGTTTTAGGGTAAGGAAGTGTCCGCCACGCTGCCCCAATGCGTGTTGGCGAACTTCACATATCTTCGGAAATATTTTTTTTCTTATTCGTCAGACACGCAGGTTTCCTCACGATGTTTTCCTTCACCGCCGAGCACGTGGTAAAACAGCACTTAATATTGTAATTAACAATTTCATTGGTTATCGGTTCTTCGAGCTATATGGCCGGCCCATTGCCACTTCAGCTTACTAATCCGTTGGGCTATATCGGTCACTCTGGTTTTACTGCGGATATCCTCATTTTTGAGTCTATCACGCAGTGAAACTCCGAGCATAGCACGCCGCGCATCACAGTATACCAACATGAAATAGTAGTTCTATGTTGCTGTGTTTCGTATGGTAATGAGTAGGGAACGGGAGACTTTTCTTACGTAAAACGAGGTATTCCATTTTTGTCTTCAAGCTTTAGTACGCATCTGCATTTTAATCCATAATCGAGGATAGATGTATATGGGTCGAGGAGTCCACTTACCATCGGGTGGACTGTGTGCTCGTTGGTACCCTTATTTTTTCTAGTTGATATTTAAAAATAAATTGCTGTCGGTTAGTCTCGTTAAAACACAAAAACAGCAAAAGAAGCTGCTGTTGCTCACAAAATATATAATATTGCTAGGTCGCTTGTTCTCCCTAAATTACCTCTGAGTAGCTACCACCCTCGTACGATCAAATGTTTAGATCAATTATTCAGTCAGTGCTGTATCAATAAAAATTCTGTGGTAACAGTGTCTTGGCCCTCCAATAAAATATCTATATTATCTCTTTTAAAGCATATGCGCACAAAAATTCACGAGATATGGCGTAGTTAAAGTTTATTCAACTACACCATATATATATATATATATATATATATATAACTCTATGGTCAGAGAGAGAGTGGACATATTTGATGTATATACGTCAAGCCTACTCATTTTCGTTTTGCGTCCTGCGTCGTGCATGACCTTGTACATCAAGATGGACCGTGAATAAGACGCTTAAAGATTATCACCACGAAATAAATGTTGCCAACAAAATCATTACCGACCGATTGACTTAATGCGCTGTGAATTTTGTGTGATAATATGCCACGTATTTTTACCACGTTTTTCAAGTAATATATAAGTCAATGGCTTTTATTAACTATTTTTTGTGTATGTTTGTTCAAGTAAAATTTAGTAATTGATTTTAAACCAATTGCCCTATGAACTATAGATACTTGAAATTTTGAATATAGCTCAAAATCAGATGAAAACGTAAAAACGTGGTATGTTAAAAAATATACACAATCTTTAAAAAAAAATTATTGTCTACTACATATCTATGTTTTATATATTAATATGCAGTTAAAATATAAATGAATAGCTTGCTTAATATACAAACTTAGAAATATAATGTATTATGTCCAAATTTCGACCATTGAACGACCACCACTAGTACCGTATAATATTATAATTCTATTGTATTGATCAAAAACTATATTAATTATTTTTTTGTCCACAGGCGTCTTTCTCTTTTGCTGGGCCCCATTTTTTACCTGCTCAGTATTAGACGCCCTTTGCACGAAGTTCGAACTCTCCTACTCGCCGGGCGTCACCGTTTTCATCTTCACCACGTGGCTTGGCTACATCAACTCGTTCCTAAATCCCGTCATCTATACCATTTTTAATCCTGAATTTCGGAAGGCTTTTAGAAAAATACTAAAATTTAGTACATAACCCGATGACTTTTATTTTGTATTTTCTTAAATATCCTTTTTGTAAAATTAACCTTCATCAACGAAGGTGAGTTCACAACACGATATGAAAAACGATACCAATTAGCAAGAAACTTGAAGAGTTCTGAGTATCAAACTAAGGATCAATTATTAAAACTAAAGAAAAAAATATATATTTATTGATTACTTTTGACAGTTAATTAAAAAACAGTATAATTACTGCACTATCATTTATGCCATTAATGACTTTTAAATTTATATTTGTCTATATTTGTAAATTAAATTAAAGAGTGCCTATTAAATTTACCCATTAAAATTATTATTATACCCAATCAAAAATAAACGAAACAGATAAAATTTTTGATTTATTTTAGTTGTAGAGGCTCACTGGAATACAAGTAATTTAAAAAAAAACAACTAACCTAATAAAAATCTTAAAAGGAATGAAATTATTTGTTTATTTATTCATTATTGTACATCGAAATACAGATAATGAATAGAGTTCAATTTCAAATATATGTACAAGGAACGGTCTTTTATTATTCTGAAACTGACACCTTCTAAACAAAAAATGTATTTGAAATTTATAACTATGAATACTCTTGTAGTGGTTTTGCCTATATTTCATGTGTAAATTAGAATTTAAACAAGAAACTTCCCGTTCCTCTGAAGTTATTTAAATTATTTACTAATTAAGGTTTGGACCCGAAACGAATTAACCTTAGTCCTTTTGCCAAATAACATGTTACTAACTTTATTGGCCGACTAGATATTCTTGTACAGAGCTATTGTTAATTGTAAGAAATTGTTAGAATATCTATTACCTTCTCTAAGCTTGTAAACTAAGTGTATAGATATTTCCTGTGGTTGTGATACGAATAGATAACAGAAAAATTACAGCCTATTTACGTCCCACTGCTAGGCACAGACCTCATTTCTGAGAGGGTTTTATGGTAAGGAAGTGTCCGCCGCCCTGTCCATTGCGTGTTGGCAAACTTCACATATCTTCGATTTTTTTTCTCATTTCTCTGACATGTAAGTTTACTCACTAAATTTTCCTTTACCGCCGAGCACGTGGTAAATGAGCAGTTAATATTGCATATAACAATTTTATTGGTGCCGGCGGGGATCGAACCCGGTTTACTCATGTACTGTGAAATTTACAGCGAGCGCCAACTATCTGAGCTACCACAGCTCATATACATAGTATACTAAAAACACATTCTCTTATTTCTGAGGAGGTTAAGAGCGTGTGTTTACGGTTTTAACATACACCCGAAATATTTTTATTCCTCACACATGACAAGGATTCCTCACGAAGTTTTCTTTATTAAGAATATACTATGAAATATATGAGTACGTCGCGTGGTGATTTGGTGGTGACGTTAGAGATTCCATATTTAAATTACATCCCGTGGATGTCGTAGGAGGCGAATATGGGAAAGGAAAGGAAGACCTTAACTTCTCCAATTAATCCAGTGTACTACCTACACACTGAATAAACTAAGTTTTTGAATTTTATTTAGTTGACTTTTTACAAATTTATACAAATCCGATTTGCTAATAGTTGTAGATATTGCGGGACACAATGTAAATGAACTAATAAAATATTTCTATAGTAAAACACAAGAAACGATAACAATACGAAAATGTGGTTGGTATTACAAAATAATAACACTACTTACAAATTTATAGTAATTATCATCATTACTGTCCTTCCCAAATCTTCTGCTGAACATGGGCCAAGGGTCAAGTGATGCCACAAAAACACAGCCACCTGCATCCATCATCTTCCTGCGTGTCTTACCCGATCGTCTCTCCAGCTAGTGGAAACCCGTCCTATTTTGCTTATCGGTACGGGGTTCCCACTCTAGAACCCTTCATACTCATTAATAGTAATCAATATTTATTTATTTACTTATTACAAAATAAACTGTCTTGCATTATATACTTGTATTATACAATAATGTAATTATTTCTCTATCATTGAGTATTTAATGAATTAAGTATTTATATTTCATAGCAATACTATGCCAAATATATAGATTTGTACGTCTGTATGAATGTTATTTATTGTATAAATAGTTTGTAAACGTAGATTACGCGCCATTAACGCGTTGTGAAATGTATGTCTATCAAAAATTGTAATATAATTTGATTTCCAATTGAATGTTTTTCTTAATCTTGAGTTAAATGTCAATCCACCGAATATGATAAAATAAAAAGTTTTTTTCTTCCATAATAGTTATTTCATTTGAAATCCTTTTTTATTTTCAGTCACTCTAAAAGTATTTTCTTTATATGGTAAAATAAAATAAAGCAACAAATAATTTAGTTTTCCATGAAGCCTTAAATCATATCGGTGTAAAGTTAATAAAGTAACCTACAGCCTATATACGTCCCACTGCTTGGCACGGGTCTATCCTCATTTCTGAGAGGGTTTTAGGGCAAATAAGTATCCGCCGCGCTGCCCCAGTGCGTGTTGCGAACTTCACATGTCTTCGAAATATTTTTTTTCTTATTTCTCAGGCATACAGGTTTCCTCACATACCCTACGAAGTATTCCTTCACCGCCAAGCACCTGGTAAATCAGCGCTTAAAACTGCAAGTAACTATTTCATTGGTGCCAGCGGGGATCAAACCCGCGTTACTCGCGTACTGTGAAATTTACAGCGAGCATTAGCAACCAAAACCCTTGAGTAATATCTGTCGTAGGTAACTGTTATATCAAAGGCGCGAGAAAAGTCTTTCCACTGAGGTTAGTAATTTAAAGCTTCGTTTTAATTTCACTGCTTTTATTTGAAAATTTTATGTTTTACGACTTTTCCAAATAAGTTTAAAATTTTACCAAACAGGAAATAGATAATGTAGGGTCATCTACGACTTTTTCGACCGCCAGGGCGGCGCCAATTATAAATGGCGTGAGATATTTGACATGTTTCCTAGAACGGTAAATTAGTTCAAAAAGTGTAGAATAGATTAATGTTTCTTTCTGAAATATTAATTATATTTTGTATTAATATATATTATATTATGTAAAGAGAGACGTCGATATCGCACATTAAACAGTTTATGTTGATAGTTCGAATAACAACAACATTTCATATGGCTGATTAAATTCAGAACTGTCTCTTCCTGTTACGAAAAAGCAATCTTTAAAAATTAATGTTTTAGGTATCCTGTCGTATACAAAGGTTATAAAATTTACGACTTAGACTTAATTTTAGTTGCTAAAGCTATTGATGTAGCTTTGATAGATTTATTTACGAGTCTTCTTAGAGAAAAGGTTATTTAATTTCGTTTTGCTAAATAACTAATTAATACCGTAGTAACTTTCAAAATTTTTCAAATATATTTTCTCATTTGCATCCAATCTTTGAAACTGGCAAAAAAATAAGAACTTTAAGCCTTTGAGGCGCAATTTTAATTAAATTAGTTTTGAACTAGATAAGGACGTATGTAGTAGCCCAGAATATCTAATAGTACTACTAACTACAGTAAATTTAAGTAAAGCTTAAATTAAGCTTTATTTATGTTTTTATAATAGCTGTATTAAGGTTAAAGAGGGCCCGTGTAATTACAGGCTGTGAAACATTGCATCTTTCAGCAGTGACAACACATCTACATCCGTCTTGGTTAGAAGATATTCATGGATTGTAAGAGCCATCAAGCGGAATGATAGTTGTTTTGTCTCTTCAGATTTATAAAACAAGGTAGCTCCCGTCGGACATGCGAATACACAGCAGAAGTGAAACACCGCCACCATTCTGTTGTGTAATTACAGTAAAACAGGATAAATAAAAAATCAATCAATAAAAGCTCTGGTTAATATGGAAACGAAATGATGAAACGATAATGAAAGTTATAAAAACAACAACTAAGTGAACTTTATAATATTCATAGTAGGCATATCGATATGAGATGGGTTGAATTGTTTTTGTTACTGTTATTTTCACGTTGATATTTCGTACTTTTTATTATTATTTTGTAATATTTAATCTTCCTTGTTAACACGGAAATGGTAGTTGAATTACTGCCATCAAATGTTTATTTCTTTTTTCATTTCCAAATGAATATCATCATCCCAAATAAATAATAGGATTTTAATGTTTCAAGGTTTTCCCTTTTATTTTTTTGGATCCGAATAAATATAACTTATTTCTTGTTTTTTTGCTTGCTTTTTCGAATTCTAGACTGTAAAAATAATACAATTTCTAATCTGTGCGACTGTTTGATCACAGTCCACATTTTTTATTTATTTTATATTTAATATTTTAGTAATTATTTTTGAACATTGGCAACATGAACGTAAACAATGTGTTTTATTTTATATAATGTAAATAATGTTGTCTTCTCCATATGTATAAATCAACTGCTGTCCGCTAAAACTTGAAATTGGCTCGACTGATTTCGATGAAATTTTTTGAGTGTATTTGAGTGAGTCCCTGAATGGTGTAGATTCTCAAGAGGACCCGGTTGATGATGCTGTTGTGGAGATTCAAGAATCACCCGTGCGAAGCCGGGGTGGATAACTAGTATAATATAAACTATAGCTTTCTTCACTCTTTCTTAATATAAACTTATACTACTCCAAATATCACATTATTTCTTCCATGCAATATGTTCAATATTATTATTATTTAATAGATTTCTATTAGCGTTTACGTTTGCAGAATATCAATTTGGTTAGCCCCGCAGTTATGTGTAAACGTGGATCATGGTCGACATTATTATTTCTTAAGGTAGTACGTTGTTGACTTACCGTCTATAAAATAATATTTGTGTACTGTAAATTCTAGACTCAGAAAAAGTGAGAGCACTTACAGGAATTTGA